TCCTGGTCAAAAGTAGTGCACTATCTAGAGAATAGGGTGTTATTTGGGATATACCCTTCAGTGACTTTAGGATTTGCACTCAGTTTTAGACCTCACCATAAAGTTCTGTGTCAAGATCAATCAAGTCCATGTGAACGAAGGTGTTAATAAAGGTGTTAATAAAGGTGTTAATAATGGTGTTAATAAAGGTGTTAATAAAGGTGTTAATACAGGTGTTAATAAAGGTGTTAATACAGGTGTTAATAAAGGTGTTAATAAAGGTGTATCGTGTAATACCTTGTCTTTGTCTTAACTGAATCTGTACTGACGAATACAACTATTTCTAGTGGGAGATAAAATGTCATATAATTTTCATATTTTCAAATGGAGATTCCGTCAACAAAACAGGATAGGCCATGGAAAGAAATGATTCTGAAGGCACATTGGGTTCCCGTAATAGCCAACTTCAATCAGTATTCTGTCATAACACCCTGGTAGACCAGGCAGAGGGTTGACATTAAGAATACACAGCTATCAGAGAGGGACAAACATGTTGTATACGTCTACAGAGAGCCAAGGCATGCGAACGATGGCAAATGATCTCTTTGCATGCAAACCGCTAACCACATTTAGGCTGGGCCCGGCTCACGCTCCACACATAACCACCATATTTCCAAATGAAACAGATGTGTTCTCGTTGCATAACCCCAGAACTCAGGCAGCTGCCTGCTGCCTTTCCTGGCAACCAATCACAGGCTACCATGCAGGCAGGAAATCATCCTGAAGCTCCATTCATTAAAGTAACATTCCGTCCCATAGGCCATTCCCTGGTCAGTAATATTGAATAGTATTGGTGGAAAATACATTAATTGTTAGTGAGTGGACTTGTTCCACATGGTGTTATGTTTAGACTGGAGTGTCCGGGGAAACTCGGCTGTGATGAGTGTCTGTACTCATTAACATAGCAGACTCCCTCTTGAACATATTCCCTGTCAAACGTTTCTTTGCTGTCATAAGAAGTGTATTTCATGAGATCAATAACACCAAATGTATATATATATATATATATATATATATATATATATATATATATATATATATATATATATTTGGGGGGGGGGGGGGGGGGGGGGGGGGTTCTGCATTGTTGGGAAGGGTCCATAAGTAAACATTTCAATGTTAATATACACCTGTTGTTTACAAAGCATGTGACAATACATTTTTGATTTGAAATATTTGCCAAACAGTATGAACTGTCATTCAGATCCTGAAGCATTCCAGGCCTTATCCACACTGTATCTAAGGCCTATATGTGAGCTATGGGAAACTAAACCTGGACCATAACCATTCATACTTGACCTGATGGTCAGTCAAGGACAGGACACAAGTACCAGCTTGTGAAATTGAGGATGAACTCAGTTGGAATTGCAACTCTATAAAAACAAGCAAGCGCCCCAACATCATGTAAAGGTGGTCTCGTAAACCCTGACACAGGCTTGTCAGTTATTGTGACACTTTCTGCGTTTCAGTCGCCCAGACTAGGCCCAATAAATTCCCTTTGGAGAACATCCTCAGATTCTCGAAAAACTGGACATTGATTGACGTCAGTAGTTCCGCTTAGTGTTCCTCAATGAAGGACTCAATGACAGGTTAACACTCACCAGGTTTGTGTGCCAACAAATGGTCACTGGGACAATTTAATTGGTTGAACCAGTCTAGACCAGTTTTATCACAAAAAGATCTGGAGAAGACATAGTCTATCATTATCTTCATGCTGCCTGTGTCACTAGCCTGAGTACCATTCTGTTTGTGCTATCATGCTAACGGCTTGTCATGCCAAACAACCAGTATGCTACGCTAATTGTATTACTTTACTGTAGACCACAGCTCTAGTAAAAAAAAGAAAACAACCATCCTTGCACACAGTCCTTGTGCAAGCATTGTAACCAACCATGATAAATATCCCCAAAATAGAATGAGAGAACTGGTACCATAATGTGATATAGGCCTATATAGACAAGCTTCATCACAATGGCCGACCAATAGTGACAGAACAACGTACAGGTACTGTAATAGCAACAATAATACATGACAGCGATGCGTTAGTCTTACTGTGAGACTAGGGACCTTATGTAACCTCAGCCTCAACGTAAGACTAGGGACCTTATGTAACCTCCACCAAAATAAGATGACTAATTTCATGTGTTCAGTCATACGGAAAAACAGGGCTGGGACCTGTTTGTTTATCCATGTTACTAGATACTGTTTGCTGGACCGAGACCTGTTGGTTTACCCATCATGCTACTAGATACTGTTTGCTGGACCGAGACCTGTTGGTTTACCCATCATGCTACTAGATACTGTTTGCTGGACTGAGACCTGTTGGTTTACCCATCATGCTACTAGATACTGTTTGCTGGACTGAGACCTGTTGGTTTACCCATCATGCTACTAGATACTGTTTGCTGGACTGAGACCTGTTGGTTTACCCATCATGCTACTAGATACTGTTTGCTGGACTGAGACCTGTTGGTTTACCCATCATGCTACTAGATACTGTTTGCTGGACTGAGACCTGTTGGTTTACCCATCATGCTACTAGATACTGTTTGCTGGACTGAGACCTGTTGGTTTACCCATCATGCTACTAGATACTGTTTGCTGGACTGAGACCTGTTGGTTTACCCATCATGCTACTAGATACTGTTTGCTGGACTGAGACCTGTTGGTTTACCCATCATGCTACTAGATACTGTTTTCTGGACTGAGACCTGTTGGTTTACCCATCATGCTACTAGATACTGTTTGCTGGACTGAGACCTGTTGGTTTACCCATCATGCTACTAGATACTGTTTGCTGGACTGAGACCTGTTGGTTTACCCATCATGCTACTAGATACTGTTTGCTGGACTGAGACCTGTCGGTTTGTCCATGCTACCAGATATGTACTGTTTGCTGGACCGAGACCTGTTGGTTTACCCATCATGCTATCATTGCTGGGTATGCTGTCCTAGGGTGAACTAGCCTGCTATACTCACTCATGTTCTCATGGCATGTGTGTAGCCCTCAGCTCACAGACCGGGACAGCACAGTAGAGAACCCACAAACCCACACTCCAGTTACACACTAGCTGCCAATATGGCTGAAGGATTTGTTATTTGGAACAAAGTAGTTTTCTCTTCTTCCGGGCGCGCTGCCCCTTGGACAACCATTATTACATATTTAGTTGTTTGAAAAGTTTGGACGTGCTACTTTGGACAAAGATTTAAGAAAATGTGGTGGATTTTCATTTGACTTACACACGTAGTAAGCTACATTTAGTTTATCTGTAAAATGATCATGAATTAGACATCAAAATGTTTTCTTGCAAAGAATCATTAAGCTTTAACATGTCGGCCTACATATAAATTATTCACTTTTGCATAATTACTCTTAAGATAACTTCAACCAAATAGCAGTGGGTCTTGAAGCTCTTAATCCCATGGCTAACATGGGTTGTTGTTGTGAGTGGTCAATGTACGCTAACTAGTTAATTATATACTCATGTTACTCTCCATTTAGATTCCAATACCCTTGAATAAGAAACACTGAAAGGGAAACAACATAGCTTTAGTGTAAACTGAAAGTTTATTGCAAATGTGCATTTTTCTCCATTACATCATAAAAAAAAATACCTGTTTCATGGACACAATACAGCAACAATACCCAACGTTTATCAAAAAAAACATTACTGCTAACAAGAGTTCTCCCTGTGAACGATGTACACATGGTCCGGGTTGTTTGGTTTAGTTGGAAGTAGTAATGAGACAAAGTCTTTGGTAGTTAGAAAACACAAAGTCCATTTGTGGAAATATGGTATTCCTTTCCTGGAGATAGGCGCTACAGTCATGCCATTGATTCAAGTTGAGGTTGGCATCTGAACATGCGGAACAGAACACGTCTGCCAGGTCAGGATTGCATTCGCAGCCTTTAGAACATCAAGCTTGTCAAATTCATCTCCAGCCCACTACTCTGAACACGTTAGTGAAATGGACAGAGCTAGGCAAAATGGGTAACAGATACTTCCATCCCCATAATAAATCATTTAACTGAACAGTTACAATGCTCCTATTAACACGTATTCCACTTTGCTCAGAATCACAAAACAAATGTAAAATACCAGGATTTTCCCCCATAAGCAGCACACCCCAAACTGCAAAGAACACAAGCAATGATGTTCTGAATCATGATTACGGTAATCAGTTATCACCAGTGAGGTTGAGATAGAGAAGCAACAGGCCTCTCTCTCTCTCCCAGCACCAGCAACAGTCCAGCATCTCATAGATCCTCTTTCCCTTCTACTCTTTCTGCTGGAGCTCAGGTTTGGTTTCCTTTTGACATGTTGCTTCTTAAAGGAATATTGACAGAGAATATCAGTAGTGATAGGTGGGAACAGTCATAAGATGGTTGAGATATTCTCTGACTAACTACTCAGAGCTTGTACTATCAGAAGTTAGAAGAAGAAATCCACATGGGGGGGGGGGGGGTCTAGTGGAGACTGGAGGGCCGTCTCTCTGTCTGTCTGTCTTGGAGAAGATTTCCTTTTTCCTTGGCTGGACCAGGAGAGGTAAAATGGAGGACGGGCCACTCTGGCATGGAGAGGCATCCACAGGATCAGGTCCCCGGGCCAGCCCTGTCGCTTAGCCCTCTCCCCCCTCTGTAGCAGGGGTGGTAGAGAATGGCTGAAGGGTTGTGCCCTCCTGGCCCCAGAAGGCCGGAGCCTCCCCTCTGTCCCAATGCGAGCGCTCTCCGGCTGGCTACATGAGCCCTCTCGTTTAGGGCTTCTGTCTAAAGAGAAATAGTCTAGATGTCGTAGGACGGACGGGCTTATCATAGCTTACAGCCTCAGCCTACAGCCGCTAGTTAGAGCGTCTTTTCATGTGCTTCGTTCGTCAATTGTGTTTCATCATCTGTTACAGACAGCTTCACTGAAGTTGGCAGCGACGATTAGTTTACAACTGGAGTTCCAAGGCATTGCCAGCTATACAGCAGAGCCAGCGCTGATGGGGCAGGACTGGTCAGGGTTATGGAGTCCCATCTGGGCTTGTTGCTGCTGGTACTGCTGGGTCTGCTGCTGGTACTGCTGGAGTTGGTACTGGTTGTCCAGCTGCAGGGGGACCAGAGCGCCTGGCTCGGACTCGGATGGAACCCGTTCCCGGAAGCTCTCCATCTGTTCTGGACTGGCCAGGTTCTTCAGAAGGTTGTTCTCACGTTCTAGCTGATTGTTCTTCTCAGCCAGCTCTCTGATCTGCTCCTTGAGGATCTCTACCTCCTCCCTGACCGCGTACATCAGGTGGTTCTTCACCAGATCCTAAGATAGGAGAGAAGGAATGAGATCTACTGTTAGAGAAGTCTGTTTAAAGAGAGAGAGAGAGAGAGAGAGAGAGAGAGAGAGAGAGAGAGAGAGAGAGAGAGAGAGAGAGAGAGTTCTGTGCAACTCATACAAACCGACCACAAATCTATCCATGCAGGGTGATTTATAGCATAAGCTTAACATACTGTGCCTTACAAAACACTTGTAGTAACATGTAGTAACAGGCCATGTGGTTACAGAGAGACGTGTACCCATATGGTCTGTATTAAGGTCTAAAGTGTATCAGTAAACTAAATATTGAATAGTCTGACTGCTGTCGTGCACTCTATAGCTTCCTGCCTGCCTCCCTATCCGACAGAAAGAACACAAGTCACATGACACATCAAATAAAATCCAATTGTATTGGCCACATGCGCGGAATACAACAGGTGTACACCTTACAGTGAAATGCTGACTGACAAGCCCTTAACCAACAATGGAGTTTTATTAAGAAAAGATAGAAAAACCAAAAAAAAAAGTGTTAAGTAAAAAATAGATAAGTACAAAAATAATAATAATCACGTGCATTAAGCGTGCTTCTACATTACTACACGAGTACTTGACTGATGCCTAGTCTACTACGATTACCGACATACAGAATATGACGACTATGGGCAAAGTGCATGAATGTGGTGGGATATGGAATAGCCCAGAGTTACTGGGTTACTATGAATGATGATATGAACGGTAAAAGTGTATCATGTTGCTGCTGATACATACCATTGCCTGTTCTATCTTGTTGTCAATGGCAACAACGCTAGCACCCGAGGCACTGTGGAGAAGAGAAGAAGAGAAGCCATAAGTCAACATATCAAATCAGAGCATTGGATCACAACAAACAAACTGGTGACCTAGTAAGTACTGGTAGGTTATGATGCTCTCATACAGATTCTGACACCAGACTGCCTCTATGGCACCAGGTCCAGCACCAAGATAACTTCTTTTGAGTCTTTTGAGATGCAATTGCCATGTAATGCCATCATCACAAATGTTTATTTAATTTGTGTTTAGGCTATTTGTGTCCATGAATGAACCTTGCTACAAGTCTCAACCTATTCCAGATTGGGCATGTGTATGAAAAACCAGCCAGCCTGCAACCTAGCTAGATACATTGTTGCGCGCTGCAAAATATGACATAATATTTGTATCGAGAGATTGTTTCAAGATACTCCACTTTTAAGTGTTTGAAAATGCACCAGGAGGAGACGCGGCGGCTGGTGTCAAATTGCATCACTCATAGTCTGCACAGCATTACAGATTTATAATACGGTATTTCCAGTTATATCATAACGAATACCAGCATAACCTGACTTTGCTTAGTCTATTTGTAAAGAAATACATTTGACTATCTTGAATTACAACAATTTAGATGAAATATTTGAATGAAATCTATTACGTACAAATTACGCATCAATAACACACAAAATCCAGTGCGGATATCTATTTACCTGTTGTCGAGTTTTACAGACACCACATCTCCTCCTAATAACGAGGAGAAGAAGGAGATGCTGAAGTTATGCAACTGATAGACAGCAACCTCCATTGGCGTTTTGAAGATCTCCGCACTCAAATTCAGCACCAGACCCGTTTGGAAAATGCTTGTCGCCACGTTTGCGATTGGTTGAGTAGATAAATCTACCTATCTAGATACAATTCCAGGGTTAATGTGTTCAGCTTAATCACTCGACTGACTGCACGACTCGATTCGGTTACTTCTGTTGTGAGTTGAGTAGAGTGTAGTGCGGTAGGTTGATGTCGGGTGATGTGAGCCACGTTCGGTTTCAGCGAGTGATTCTATTTCTGCCACCGGCGGCGCTTATAGCGCAACTGTCTCCTGACGTCATCTGACGCGAGAATACTTTATGCAAATGAGCCCTTCTGGCATGATTTTGGCTCCACCCACTTTCTGAACTCCTACAAACACAATAAGCACTGAGTTGACCCGGAGACCGAATTCATTTACACCCTGAAACAAATAGGCAAAATAAATGCACAAATAAAGTGTGTGCTTATGTTTTTTGTTTTTTTTCCCGCGCATTTTTGGAGTAAAGGGTTTTGGTTGCGTAACATGTCATATGTTGTTTTGCATCAGCTGATAATACTTTTAAGGGAACGCTTCAACGGAATTAAGTATAATTATTATTATCCCCATTATACCTATTTATTGGTATTTTTAATTCAATCGTTAATTTGTCAGGGACATGTGCAACAGTATGTCGAGATTATGAAACGGCTAGCCTATAGAGGCAAACTAGAATCCGGATATATTGAATGCACTAATAACGCATGCATTATTGGTTTATAACAGGATGTCTACATACTGTTTGTTGTTTTGAGTCGGTGTTATCTGCAGGTGCGATAGTAGAAGAAATTACAGCATGTTCCAAACAGAAGTTTTTGGGGAACTCCTTTCCACCCACTGCAAGGCTCTGGTCGTTTTCCTTCCTCTCCTCTGGAACTCTGCCACCACCTGGTGGCGAGAGTTGAAGTTTCACTTCTTTCATAAATAATATTTACCGGTGTCATATTCTAGGAGGACACCTAACCAGCCTACTTGGGGAGCATTTAAGGATTTTGATGCATGGAATTAAACATATTATAACTAATTTGTAATATGCAATGTGTTTTTTGTTGTCCTAAAAGGCTCTCATTATCAGGCAAGAGTTTCAGCATAAGGACATCTTATAGGGGTCAGTATTGTCATGCATAGATAGCCCTACCTAGTGCATGCACCACAATAGCTGTCTTCTTGCTATGTGCATTCACTGTATAGCAACACAGTTATAACTTTTAACACCTCCAACACCCTTTTGTTTCACTATTTTAGTCCGTATAAGAAAAAAAGTAAGTTGTACCGTACACCATTTTGTGAGGAAGGGAAATAATAGTTATGTAACCCTCTGATCCAATTAGCAAGGTGAGACTCCAGTTTGGTCGACACTAAAGCACATCTAACACAGCCACGTTGAACGTATTAGTATCAACACGACCTGTCACTTGTGATTTCACGTTGCGCTGTGGCACTGCCATGCTTAGTGCCAGGCAGGGCTGTGGAAACCGGCTAGCTTGCGTCCCAAACAGCACTCTATTCCCTATTTAGTGCGCTACTTTTGACCAGGGGCCCATAGGGTAGTGCTCTATATAGGGAAGAAAGTGCCATTTGGGATACAGCCCTAGAGTATTACATCTATTTTCTCTGGTTGGAAACACTCTGGGGGTTAGTCACAGTGGTCATTGTTTAGTACTGGTATTTTAAAAAGGTGTATTGGACTGTTTCCTATCTAAATGGAGGAACGGAGGAGAGAGAGAGAGAGAGAGAGAGGGGGCGGAGAGAGATAGAGAGAGAGAGAGACGAGGAGAGGGGGGGGGTAGGAGAATAGTCAGAGAGAGAGAGCAGAGAGGAGAGAGACGACGAGCAGGGGGGGTGGAGGCGGAGGGAGAGGTAGGGGACACAGACAGAGGGAGAGAGAGTAGGGGGGGGGGGGAACGCACCTCTCACCTCTTCACTGTTTCATCATGTTGGGCTGTCCTGCAATATTAATCTCCTACGTTTATATTCCATAGCATGTAAACATCAGTTCTACTAATGTTTGCTGCTCCTCAGCCATATTAACTCAGTCCTACTGTTTATATTCCACTCAGCCATATTACCCTCAGTTCTCCTACTGTTTATATTCTCCTCAGCCATATTAACTCAGTCTTATGTTATATTCTCCTCAGCCATATTACCTACCCTATGTTTAATTCCTCAGCCATATTACTGAGTCCTCCTACTGTTTATATTCTCCTCAGCCATATTACCCTGAGTCCTCCTACTGTTTATATTCTCCTCAGCCATATTACCCTGAGTCCTCCTACTGTTTATATTCACCTCAGCCATATTACCCTGAGTTCTCCTACTGTTTATATTTCCTCAGCCATATTACCCTGAGTCCTCCTACTGTTTATATTCTCCTCAGCCATATTACCCTGAGTCCTCCTACTGTTTATATTCTCCTCAGCCATATTACCCTGAGTCCTCCTACTGTTTATATTCTCCTCAGCCATATTACCCTGAGTCCTCCTACTGTTTATAGTATGCTCCTCAGCCATATTACCCTGAGTCCTCCTACTGTTTATATTCACCTCAGCCATATTACCTGCAGTCTCTACTGGTATATTAATTCCCTCAGCCATATTACCCTCAGTCCTCCTACTGTTTATATTCTCCTCAGCCATATTACCCTGAGTCCTCCTACTGTTTATATTCTCCTCAGCCATATTACCCTCAGTCCTCCTACTGTTTATATTCTCCTCAGCCATATTACCCTGAGTCCTCCTACTGTTTATATTCACCTCAGCCATATTACCCTCAGTCCTCCTACTGTTTATATTCTCCTCAGCCATATTACCCTGAGTCCTCCTACTGTTTATATTTCTCCTCATCCATATTACCCTCAGTCCTCCTACTGTTTTTTTCTCCTCAGCCATATTACCCTGAGTCCTCCTACTGTTTATATTCTCCTCAGCCATATTACCCTCAGTCCTCCTACTGTTTATATTCTCCTCAGCCATATTACCCTGAGTCCTCCTACTGTTTATATTCTCCTCAGCCATATTACCCTGAGTCCTCCTACTGTTTATATTCTCCTCAGCCATATTACCCTGAGTCCTCCTACTGTTTATATTCTCCTCAGCCATATTACCCTGAGTCCTCCTACTGTTATATTTATCCTCAGCCATATTACCCCTGAGTCCTCCTACTGTTTATATTCTCCTCAGCCATATTACCCTGAGTCCTCCTACTGTTTATATTCTCCTCAGCCATATTACCCTGAGTCCTCCTACTGTTTATATTCTCCTCAGCCATATTACCCTGAGTCCTCCTACTGTTTATATTCTCCTCAGCCATATTACCCTGAGTCCTCCTACTGTTTATATTCACCTCAGCCATATTACCCTGAGTCCTCCTACTGTTTATATTCACCTCAGCCATATTACCCTGAGTCCTCCTACTGTTTATATTCTCCTCAGCCATATTACCTGAGTCCTCCTACTGGTTTATATTTCCTCAGCCATATTACCCTGAGTCACTCCTAGGTTATATTCTCCTCAGCCATATTACCTGAGTCCTCCTACTGTTTATATTCTCATCAGCCATATACCCTGAGTCCTCCTACTGTTTATATTCTCCTCAGCCATATTACCCTGAGTCCTCCTACTGTTTATATTTACCTCAGCCATATTACCCTGAGTCCTCCTACTGTTTATATTCTCCTCAGCCATATTACCCTGAGTCCTCCTACTGTTTATATTCTCCTCAGCCATATTACCCTGAGTCCTCCTACTGTTTATATTCTCCTCAGCCATATTACCCTGAGTCCTCCTACTGTTATATATTCTCCTCAGCCATATTACCCTGAGTCCTCCTACTGTTTATATTCTCCTCAGCCATATTACCCTGAGTCCTCCTACTGTTTATATTCACCTCAGCCATATTACCCTCAGTTCTCCTACTGTTTATATTCTCCTCAGCCATATTACCCTCAGTCCTCCTACTGTTTATATTCTCCTCAGCCATATTACCCTGAGTCCTCCTAGCGTTTATATTCTCCTCAGCCATATTACCCTGAGTTCTCCTACTGTTTATATTCTCCTCAGCCATATTACCCTGAGTTCTCCTAGCGTTTATATGCTATAAGGGAAACTGTCAGCCAACGTCCATTGAGTTAAGTGGGCTCCAGCCTAATGGGACCAGCGAGATCTATGACTCATTACAGAGCCTCCCGAATTGCACCATATTCTCACCATACCGAACTACTTTTGACCAGGGCACATAGGACTCTGGTCATAAATAGAGCACTATGTAGGGAAAAGGGTTCCATTTGGAACACATCCCTGGATCTATGAGTCATGATACAGCCAGCTAGGCGTTGAACCAGACTTTCCATCAGATGTCCTGGTCTGAGAGCCAAGCAAACACATTCTAACAGATTTAGTCTCTCTGTATATCTCATCTGGATCCCCATGGTGACCGCCAGAGGCCCAAGGCTTCGGATCCCCATGGTGACCTCCAGAGGACCAAGGCTTCGGATCCCCATGGTGACCTCCAGAGGCCCAAGGCTTCGGATCCCCATGGTGACCTCCTGAGTCCCAAGGCTTCGGATCCCCATGGTGACCTCCAGAGGCCCAAGGCTTCGGATCCCCATGGTGACCTCCAGAGGCCCAAGGCTTCGGATCCCCATGGTGACCTCCAGAAGCCCAAGGCTTCGGATCCCCATGGTGACCTCCAGAGGACCAAGGCTTCGGATCCCCATGGTGACCGCCAGAGGACCAAGGCTTCGGATCCCCATGGTGACCTCCAGAGGACCAAGGCTTCGGATCCCCATGTTGACCTCCAGAGGACCAAGGCTTCGGATCCCCATGGTGACCTCCAGAGGCCCAAGGCTTCGGATCCCCATGGTGACCTCCAGAGGCCCAAGGCTTCGGATCCCCATGGTGACCTCCAGAGGCCCAAGGCTTCGGATCCCCATGGTGACCTCCAGAGGCCCAAGGCTTCGGATCCCCATGGTGACCTCCAGAGGCCCAAGGCTTCGGATCCCCATGGTGACCTCCAGAGGCCCAAGGCTTCGGATCCCCATGGTGACCTCCA